CAACGATTGGGTTTCCTTCGCACAGGTAGCAGCGGCGCAGCGGGATCGAAACTTCCTGGGCTCCATCACTACCGATTTCAAATCCCGATCATGGGGGAGAACGACCTGAGTTCGTCAATTGGTTTTCCTTCGTCTTTAGCCGCCGTTACGACCGGGTAGTGGGAGGTGGAGAGAGGAAGAAGAGTACGAGAGGGAGAAATAGTGAGGTTTCTAGGTCAGAATCAAATTTCTATGGAATGGATTCTTGTGGCTTTTGTGGGTTTGGTATAGCGAGGCGAGAAAGAGGGAGAACTCTAAGCTCTGAATTCGAAATCAATTTTGGGAACCGCCATTGAAGCAGGTAGAGTTCTAAGCTATGGGGTTACGAGATCTAGGAAGTTGGAAAAGTCGGAGGAGACAAAGCATCTCCCGACGAAGCCTTCTCAAACCCAGTCCCTTCTGTCTCGATTTTCTTAATTACAGAGCCTATTTCTTCCTCAGTTTATCGCCGTCTGTTGTGTCGGGGAAGATGCACGATCCGACGCGAGGAGTTGGCCGCGGAGACCCAGTCGCGCAGGGACCAGCATCTGGTGTTGGTGGTGTTCGTTTATCCGATGTCATGAAAAAGAGGGGAGAATCTAGATTCAAAGTAATGAGAAGGGGCTCTATGGGTCGATGATTCAACGCGTTGTTCTAGTGGGCTGTGATGGCCTGCCAGTAACGAAGAGGGCGGCAGCGGCACACCGTCAAGCAGCGGCGGCAAGCAACTGAAGACAAAGTATAATTGGATTTTTGTTTCATAATTAATAAAAAAAACTATTAATTATGTTTTATAAATAATCTCTAAAATTAATAAAAATTTAATCTGACATGGCAATTGAGAGTTGATGTGGATGGTGAGGTAGCATCCATCTCTTGTTGTTGATGACATGTCAATTAGGGCGAGTCCATGTCAGCGCCACGTCCACATTATTGACGACATCTTTAACGCCGTCAAAGTTTGTAACGAAAATGGCTACATTTGACAGCAAAGTTTTGAAAACATGGCTATATTTGTGTATTTTTCAAAATTTGGCTATTGTTGTCACAAAGTGCATATTTTTGGCTATACAAGTGTATTTTGCCTATTTTAACCCTAAAAAATGACTACCCGACCCGCCACGTCAGATTTGCCTGCCATGTCACCCTTCCCTACCTGATAGATCGTTTATTACACATATTTTCACCCCTATTCTGAAGCCGTTTGTGATGAGGAATCTTGTGTTTTAAGCCGATTTTACGCTAGGTTGTGTGTTTGTGTCATATTTCAGGTCCCGGCGTTGGAATCGAGGCGGAGAAACGAGTTCTGGGTCGAAAGGAGCCGAGTTGGGACTAAGGGGGCTGCAGGAGGAAAATACCCGGTCAGGTGGCAAAATACCCGACCGGGTATTTATCGTTTTCGGCACCCGTGAGAAGCAGAAGGGGGCCCGGGCGATGGCCTTAAATCCCCGGTCGGGGATTATGAGGATGGACCGGGGATTTCTCCTCTTAGTGAAACGGCGCGTTCTGGAAATACCCGGTCGAACCCCAGAATACCCGACCGGGTATTTCGACCGGGTATCGCGATGGCAGCTGATAAAAGAGGAAGAAGGCCAATTTTCAGAGGGTTCCGAGTTTTTGAGAGAGAAAGCGATACCTAGAGAGAGAAAGCGACGAACCAGAGTTCCCAAGCACCATAGATCGATCTTCAACACCATTGGAGCCCGGCTTGAGCTTGGAGAAGTGCGATTAAACGTCCAGGAGCAGAAATCCATCTTCACAGTATGATTTCCGCGTCTGAATCTGCTTTTGCTTCTTTCTCTATGGAGTAGTTTCCCCATTCATCTGGGTATGGGGAACCCTAGATTTGTATGCTAGGTCTGATTGTATGAACCCAAGTACAGAGTTTGTGAATTGATTATATTCGATTGAGGTTTGCATGATTGAATGACTTGAATCCTGATCAAATTCCTGTTGTTTCTGCTTTGACCTGGAATGAGAATATCTGCCTAGGTTGATAGAGTACCCTTAATCGAAGGTGGCGAATTGGTGACTTTAGTCGAGGAGCCAATTCGCTATTCTGTACCGAAGTTAATTCGGTAGTGGAGGTTTGGTTCATTAGGGCCTCAATCTGTTTACTCCGGTGGAGGTTAGTCGCCCGCTAGAGACTCAGATTGAGAGGGTCTGGAGACCTTTAGTCGAGACTTCAGGCTAATTGAGAACCTTCCGCAGTATAACTTTCATGAAAACTGAACTTGGTAAATTGCAATCCGACTTAACTGCAGTCTAGGGGGAACCATATCCGGGTGACCTCTCTTGACTTGACAACAACCGTTTACTTGCTTTGTGTTTTGTTTGCTTGAGTTGCACTAAAAGTTCACCGCTAAATAACAAGAATTCACCGAGTAGTCATCACATCTAGGACTCGGGTTGACAATAAAACCCAAACCCGCTATACTACGCTTTAGGAAGTGGTTGCACTTGGCCATTTTCTAGAGTGACAGTAGGAGTGAGTCATTACCCAACCTGCAAACCAACCCAATAATCGACCCAACCCCAGACCCGACCCCCTTAATCTGAAATGTAAAATCGAAACAGGAAAGCGTAGGTCACTTTCCATTCTCCATCGTCCCCTCATCCTCCATTGCCTTTCTTTTCACTTCACTTCTGGGTTCTCCGTTTCCTTGTGGCAGGAGCAACGATTAGTTGCCAGATAACAGTAATCATGCCTATTTTCCCAGGGAGCACCACAATTGGGGACCAAATCAGGCTCAGAAGGTCCAATAGAAACAACTTCCATTCCCATCATCTTCATCGCCATCAGCTAGACCCAGCATCAGCAGCCGAAACAGATCTCAACCCACAACTCTCTCGCCCTCCCAAATCCACCACCATCTCTTCCCTCTTCATCTCCCCATTCTCCGCCAACTCAAGCGAACCCACCACAATCACCATCGCCAACAGCAGTACTGTCGGCGGCAAAAAGAAGGGAACCGCTGCCTTCAAAGGCTTGGGAAGCGCTGCTGGGGCTACCCGTCAGTTGTCTGTCCCGACGGTGATAAGGTCATCGACGGAGTGGGATGGAAAGAAAGTAAAGAAGAAGATGAAGAAAAAAGTTGTGGTTGCGTCTCCTGGTCCTCCCCCGTCGCCGCCGCAGCAGAGGAGGAAGATGAGCGAGTAGCAGGGGGTTGTCGATTTTACTTTTCAGATTCAGGGGGGTCGAGTTTGGGGTTGGGTTGATTATTAGGTTGGTTTGCGGGTTGGATAGGGAAGGGTGACATGGCGGGCAAATCTGACGTGGCGGGTTAGGTAGTAATTTTTAGGGTTAAAATATGTTGACTGTGATTTTCTGTTAGCCACGTCATCACTTAACGGTCGTCATTAACAGAGTCTAACGGAGGTTAATGGAGAGTGACCGAACTTGAACTGTTCAACTAATTTAAGTGACTACTGATGGAGTAAACCAATTTAGTAACCAAACGTGAAATTTTATAGCAATTTGAGTGACCAAACTTGTAATTATGTCAAATTTTTTTATATAATGGGCAATTTTTAATTTATTAAAATGAGCTGTGGCTGGACATGCGTGCCACTTGCGTGGTCAACCACCTCTTAATATAATTAACAGATAGTTGCAACTTGCAACTATGGACCATCTTATAAGGTTTAACTACAAATAGGTTTAGTTATTTCGGTCCGATTTGACTATTTTTTGGTACGTACCAAAAAATTTATACAGTATATATGAACTTCTTTAAGTTTAATGGATAAATACAAATTATGATTTATCAAACTCTACAGTTGGGTGGCATCCTTTCTTCGAGAGCTCAAATGAAACAGTGCGTTCCATTGGTGAGTGAGAATTGTCCTGGAACAGTGGGTTAGCGTTGGTTCTTGAAATCATACTTATGATTCTCCTTTCTTCTCTTTTGTCTCCTTTCTTAAGTTGTGGTGATTAAAGGAAGTAAAGTATCGGTGAATGTGTTATTTAAGGGGAAAAGAGTGAAAATTATCAAAAAATTTTGAATTTTTTTAAATCATAATGAATAAACACTATGTACGTTATATAAAATATCAGTGCAACAAGTTATATGTAATCAAGGAGGGATATAGCCACCATGCAATATTTGAGTGTGAGGTTATAATTAGTGGTGGATCCAATAATTTTCTCTATATATATCTCCTTAAAAATTAATCTAAATAAAATAATAATATCTCATTTCTAAAAAAATATCTGATCAAGAAAAAAATGAATAATCATAGCTTCTTGCTTCATTTCTCTTCATGGAGACTGAAGATCATAGAAGAAAAGGTCGAAGAGAAGTTAAATTGTATTTTTAAAGTTTTGATGAAACTTGAGTACAAAATTTGAGATTTAATTGGACTTATTTTGCATACACAAATTTATTGTTACAAAATTAACAAAGAATGGTTTCCAGTACAATAGTAAGGTAATCAAAAGGCTCGAGTTTGAAAACATAGATATAATAAAAAAAAATCTGTTCCAAACGGAAAAATAGTATTTGGAGATGGGAGAGTCCAGATTATTCTTAAATGCCTCTAAATCCACCATAATTATGACATATGTATATTATGATAACTATATTATTAGGCCATCTTTTCTGAAACCTAGATTTAATCCTAGGAAGCTAAGCTAATCCGTAATTCATTAATAACTAAATCATAATTCATTTAATAACTAAGATTGAGGGTAACTTTAGTTAAAGAGATTTTTTTAATCTAATTCGTCCAACTCTTTTATCTCTCCTTTCCACACTCATATTGTTGTTTCAGAACATTATGATTTATGAGCTTGAAGACAACGGTTTCAAAACATAAAAATCGGATGGTTGGAAATGAACTAATGAGATAGTAACGGAAAGTCTCGTGTCCTGAATCTGTGAACGGCAGCTGGCCGGAATTTGCAACTGTAACCGCTCCGGCGGAAGTTTCAAGGCTTCCTTTGCCATTTGCCTTTCTTAAAAGCTCTTCAAACACGAAGCTGAGAATAAAATTGAATGCCAAAAATCAATATATTTATGTACATATAGATAGTTATACACTTACATGTTGTTGGTAACACTCGGGATTTATACAAAGAAACCCATATCAATCAACAAAGATACTAAAACAGAGGAGGGACGGGAAAAGTGCTGATCGGCTTCTGAACGTCCACTTTAACCGTCTCCAGAAGCGGCGGCTGGCAGGGGCAGGCCATGGCTATGAATCTCGGCACTTGCTCTCCTGGCATCAACACCGGCAGGCTCTCCCCTCGATTCTTGCTCGCTTTCTGTTCGACGAAATGCCACAGAGAAAGCTAAGACTCAATTTCACAACTTCCCACAAAAGGGTAAAACGAAAACTGAAAAACAGAGCAACTGGGAGATTAGTTGGCAGGAGCGTACCAGTTGAAGAGGCGAAGATTTATGAGGAGGTAAATGATCGGTTTCTCGATGGATCCCATCATCATCGGGAACGTCCCAAAAGGAACGGAGCCTGTCCCAGTGGAGGCAGCAGATGAAGACGGCGCTCATGGAAAACAGAGTGAGCAGGAGCAGAGCCAAACCCAGAGGGAACCCGATGAGCGGCCGGTCGTCTTCGTCCATAGGTAAGGAATCGAGCATCTGATAGGTGGGTAATTTCTAGCTGCAAAGTGCAAACTGCTCGACCTCGACCCCCTGGTGAGGCAAGAAGAAAAGGCAGGGCGAGGAGGGAAGTGGAAGGGGAAGCAGAGTTATATTGTGGGAGGGGAAAGGAATGGAATTGGTTGAGAGGGGTCAGGTGAAAAGAAGGTTTCAGATGTGTTTTGCGGGTGGAGTGGAGGGCTGTGTTGGGCACGTTTTTTGTCGTACGCTTCGTGATTTTCAGTACGGAGTGCGGGGTGGAATGAAGGTGCTTTTTTTTAGGTAGCCCGGCCCAAAGTCCCATTCCGCACTTACTTCACGTCTGCTAACACGTTACTTTCGATTGATGAATTGAATTTCATTTGCTATGCCCACTTTCACTTTTGTTAATCAGAGTGGTTGTGATAAGTTCCAAAATTAGCCCTCCCACCTACAGAGCTTTCATGTTCAACTTTTTTTGAAGACTTGGCTTGGAAAATAGTTGATTGAAATTGGGCACTATTTGAACTCGTCGAGAAGATTAATGATGTTTTTTTTTTTGACAAAGGATTTGCTTATATTCCACTTCGAAAGAACAAGGTTACAAAGAGGGGGAACAAACTGAATCCCAGCAAAAGAAGGATAACCCCAACACCAAAGAGAGAACATCATGAAAAAGGGAAATTTCCCAGAAGAAAACCAACACAGCAAGAACAAAGAACACAGAGGGTTCCCTTACAAGAGCCAAAACACAGAGAAACTCGTGCCATCTTTGTAACTTGAACCAAAGGAAATGGCACACAGCACAACTTCAGCTCGCCCAAAACAAACATGACCATGGTAATTGAACATTGCAACACCATATGCCGCCTCCTGGGAGTTGTTCAAAGACGACCCATCACAGTGAATCACCGAATTGGGATTGCGCGGCGGTGGACAAGGTTGTGAACGGACTGCTCAGAGCTGAAAAAGACCAACGGGACCGGGACGAGGACCATGATAAAACAGAGCAGAGGCACATCTAACGGTTGGAGAAAGCCACACAAAGACCCGGAGAAAAAAAGACCAGAACCAACAAGAACACCTGCAAACCACACAAGCCGACAAAGAACACCTGAAACAAATCCAGCACCAGAACAGAAAGAAGCAGCCCCAAAATCACTCCCAACAACCCGAAAACACTGGGCCAAACCAACCCTAGATGAACCACAGAATCCGCCAATCAAAGCGTCACCGACCCAGCAACCAGAGGAGACTCCGCTACAACAACAATCGTCGACTGGTGGACGACGACGGAAGGGCAAACGGCGAATGCATTCACCCTCGAAGATGACTACACCAAGATTGGTCAGAACCATCAGTCAGATCAATGACAGATGATCTCCAATCTACATCCTCCGAAACCCAGAACAGAGCAAGGTCCACCAGATCTAGAATATCTGGAGCAAAAGCAGGTGAAATCCATCTCCCGGGGAGAGGATTGTGGAGAAAACCCACTTAGGGAAAGGACAAATGCCACAAAGGGCTGGAAATGCCATGTAATGGCTTGAAAAAAGCAAAAAATGCCAAGGAAGGAGCTGAAGATCGAGGGAGCAATGCGAAAAGGAAAGAGATTGTGGCTACTGCCGGTCACCGAGAAGTGCCGGCGGCAGCCCAGAAGGAGAAGGCTGGAAAGTAGAGAGAGGACAGAGGAAATTTGAACTAGAGAGAGAAGGGGAAAAAAGTCGACATTTAGTTTAGAAGATTAATGATGTCAATGGTCAGGTTTTAGGCAAGTTGGTTTTTTTTTTTACAAAAGATAATCATACAAAAGATAATCATGTATTGATCAAGAAAAGGTAGTTACATCCTGGAAACCAGCCAGGCCCGGAAATCAAAAGAACGACTCATAGTCGGGTACAAAGAGAGGGCTTTCCTAGCCACCAAATGGGCTACCCTATTGCTACGCCGACCTACAAATCTAACACTAAGCCCAGGATTACCGGCAAAAATTTGAATGTGTTCATCCAGCACAGCACCTAAGCGACTATCTTGAGCCGCCCTATGGTTGATTTTATCAATGATAATTTTCGCATCCCCTTCAAAGGTAATGTCCTCCCAGCCAAGCGATTGACACCACAGAAGAGCTTCACGCAGCGTAACCAATTCCACTACCAAGGGGTCATCAAACCACGGAAACTGCACACCCTTCACCATCAAAACCTCCCGATCCGGGGTGAGAAAACCAAACCTCCAGCCGAGTGCGAACCATTCCGGACAGCCCCATCCCACATGCACACATCCCCATCCCCCCGACCAGGCTCATGATGGATGTGTTCAGCCTGTACACGTAGGGGGGCTTTATCCACTGGAAGCCGGACCCACTCCTCATATTGCTGCTGGAACTGACGCATCAAGGCAGAAAACCCAAACTATTTGCCTTCAAAGACAACCCAGTTGCGAGATCCCCAAATACGCCAGAGGACAGCCACAACTGCCATAAGAACAGTAGGTTGGTGAATCAAAGCCATCAGACGCTTAAGGAATAGCGGAAAAGTATGACGAGGGAGCCCCTCCCCTAGGTGAGCCAAACCAGCATAATCCCAAAGGGCCCGCGCTACTAGGCAGTCAAGATAAAGATGTTCCATGGTTTCCGATCCGGCCCAACACATAGGGCACCGGGAAGCACATGGAGCCGCTTCTCAATAAGGGCCTCAGTAGTAGGCATGGTCCGATTTAGAATTTTCCAGAGAAAGACATTTAACTTGGGAGGGATATTTGCTTCCCACAAACGAATCCAGCTCGACCTATCCATCCAACTGACCAAAGACTTCCAACCCCCCCGATGCTTATCAAGAGAGACTGCTAAATGATAGGCCGACTTGACCGGGAACACCCCATCAGGGATGTCATGCCATATTAACCTATCTTCTATCGACTGCCTTGGAAGAGGTATAGTTTTGATGGCACAACAAGTCGGTGGGTCAAACCATTGGCTAAGCTTTTGCTCATTCCAGCGCCCCTCCCCCTGACAGATTACCTCCTCAACCTTCGGGTCATCCCCCTTCGGTAAGACTCGAGGATTAAATCAAGGAGGATCCAACTAGAGAGGAGGGATCCAATTAGAATGGAGGAGCGAAGCAGACTTACCATTCCCAATTTGCCATCGCAAGCCCTTCTCCAGCAAATCCATATCATACAGGATACTCTGCCATCCCCATGAAGGGGAGATTGAGCCGTTGCAGTAAGAAATGAGCCTCTCGAGAGATATTTGCCTTTATAAACCTGAGCAAGCAAGGATTGGGGTTCCATAAGAATACGCCACCCGATTTTAGCTAATAACTCTTATTAAATTGCTCAAAGCGTCGGAACCCCATCCCACCATCATGCTTACTACGACACATATTTCGCCAGGGCATCCAATGAATACGAAACTGGTCCACAACATCACCCCACTAGAAGCGGACTACATGTTTGTCCAGCAGCCGACACAAAGAGACTGGTAGCTTGAAGCAGGACATCACATGCAATGGTAATGCCAAAGCGATAGATTTGATCAGTGTCTCTTTTGCTGCCCAAGACAAGTTTTTTGTTTCCAACCTTGAAGGTGATCTAATAACTTCTCCTCAAGATACCTTAAGGTGGCCATTTTTGAACGCGCAATCAGCGTGGGTAACCCAAGGTACTTGTAATGCACCCCTACCGCTCAAACTCCCAAAATAGCCGCCAAAAACTCCTGATCCGCGCAGACAATATTTTGGCTAAAACAAACAGCCGATTTATCCAAGTTTACCCGTTGGCCACTCAGTTCCTCATACTCGTTCAGAACCTCTATCAAATTTTCACATTCCTGGAGAGTACCCCTCAAAAATAGATAAGAATCATCCGCAAAGAATAAATGAGAGATACGGGGCGCACGGGGAGCCACTTTTACCCCTTCTAGCCGACCCTCTAGGATAGCCTGCCGAAGGAGCGCCGCAAAGCCCTCCGTACAAAGCACAAATAACAGAGGGGATAATGGATCCCCTTGCCTTAACCCTTTGGAAGAGGTGAAAAAACCTGAGGGGGTACCGTTCATGAGGACAGAGAAAGAAGCGGACCAGAGACACTCTTGAATCCAACCTCTCCAAGTAGAGTTAAAGCCCATTTTATCCAAAATAGCGAGAAGAAAGGACCATTCGACTCTATCATAGGCCTTTTCCATGTCAACCTTTAGAGCCATGTATCCTTTCTTACCCCGCGTTTTGATCTTCAAATAATGCATTAACTCATGACCCAAGAGTATATTCTCAACAATCTGCCGGTCCCGGATAAACGCATTCTGACCCTCCGAAATAATTTGCGGCAAGAGATAAGCAAGCCGTTCTACCAGGATTTTGGTAATAATTTTATAGACGAACTGACATAGGCTTATAGGCCGTAATTGCCGCATGGATTCCACCTTATCAACCTTTGGGATTAAAGTAAGCCAGGTGTGGTTGAAGCTGCGGAGTAACCGACTTGTTGTGAAGAACGAACACACCGCATTCACTACCGAACTCCCCACAACATCCCAGAAGGTTTTGAAAAATTTACCAGTGAACCCATCTGACCCAAGCACCTGTTTCGATCCCATGGCAAACACCGTTTTCCGAACTTCACTAGGGGGAACCTCAACTGTTAGGCTACAATTCATCTCAAGGGTAACATTACGAGCAATAGGCAAGCCTGCCACACGCTCAGCCATGTTAGCCACCTGAATCTCCGTAGTGAAGAGGTGCTGATAAAACGATGTCACAATGTTTGCCTTGCCATTCTCATCTGTAATCCAATCGCCATTCTCACTACGAAGGCCCTCCACAAAATTCTTCTTACGACGAGTTCTGGTTACTGTATGAGAGTAGGCTGTACTTTTATCACCCTTTTGCAGCCAGTGAACCCTAGACATTTGTTGCCAATACTCCTCCTCCGCTTCCCACTGACGACTTAATTCCTTCTCCAAATTTCTGACCTCATCCCAGTTAATGGGTTGGATAAGCTTAACCCTGTCAATTTCACTCTGGAGAGTTTTTATATTCCGCAAGGAGTTCGTAGTGCTGACCCTACTCCAATCATAAAGAAAATGGTGGAGCCACTTACGGCGCTCCCGGAGACAGAAAATGGGAGTCCCCTAGATATTCTCCTGCCAGACATAGCAAACCATAACT